ATACAGTATGATGCTGATTGCACCATAAAAACCTGCTTGTTGGGCAGACAAACACACAATATGCAAAAATGGTACCCTCCAAGATAATTAAAATAATGACAGAAAACCCTGTTAGGGAACGTCAAAGTGGTATAATTTTTGATACAAAAAAAGAAAAACGAAATTCAAAGTCTTGATGAGTGATTGTTGAAAAGCAATATTTATCCTGGTGTTTTATTCAGTTTTGGGCCTTTTCACAGAGAATTTAATTATGTTTTACTTTGGATTAGTGAGCAGGATCTAAAATAGTCAGCAGGACTGTTTTTCTACGTAAATAAAATCATGCTGAATATATTTTGCCTGTCGGACCCTGTTAAATATTTAGATGAGTGCAGATTGTACTCTGTGATTTTTCTGTAAAGTATTTTTGTTTTGTTGGTACTAACGCTGCGGCTGTAAGACATGGAGATGGTTTCAAAAGAACAATAAAACGTCCAAGGAAAATAAGTTTTGAACAGTGTGATTAAAAGCTTGACTGACAGCTGAGATGGTAAAACAAATAAATTAACAAATTGTTACTTTGGTCAAAGTTCTAATACAAGTTTTATGTGTTCATGTGGAATTTTGTGTTGGTGAAAAATTAATTTCACCAAATATTTTTTATTTGCAAACAAATTTGAAGCCCTAACGCTGCTGCAACAGATTCTGAATATAATTTAATGAATTAGAAGACAAATTCTGCAGATTTTAACACAGCTGCTTAGTTATTTTTGAAGTCCTGATTTGTGAAAAGGTTATGAAAAAAAATGAATATCTTACCTGCTGTAGGTAGCTTTTTGAATGGCCAAGTTTGGAGAAATAGTTTAATTTTATAGACAGTGTCCCCATCTTTTTATGTTTTAGGGAATTGCATCCAGCAGAGTCCAGTTTATAAAAGATGCCACTGCGCGCTAAAAATGTTGAGCTTCAAGCCCTGCCTACTACCCCTCACACAATGAACTAATTACAGCTAAATGTATTAGAAAAACCTCAAATTTGATCATATGCAATGTATACAAATTGTGTAATTTAACCAACGTCAATACATGGAGAAAAAAAGATCTGATGTTTCATTTGTTTATGGAAAAGAGTTATGAATTCAAACTTTTATTGATACCAGCCAACAGTGAGGGTTGGTCCTGTTGTGGGCTCAACGTCTCGATGCCAGTCTAAATACTATATACCAATGACCATCTGACCAAATTAGCAAGTTCGTGTGTGATTTCAGTGAGGCCAAAGCCGAAGTGGATTGTTGTCCTAAAACAKCATTTTTCTTAATGCTAATTTATAYATTTCCATTTCTACCAATTTTGCCTTACGCAGTTATTCTGAGAGAAAATATTCCCACAGAAGATTCTAAAAGGTGCACCGGAAATGCTACAGCTAGCTACTGATGCTGCTGTTTGCACTTACAAATAAACTCACAAATCTATCTAACAATTATGTAAGGTGAAACTGAGACATTTAAAGGTTTATTTCGTTTCCATGGACTGCTACCAAACAGATTAGACATTATTAGACAGGAGCTGTTTAAAAAAAACTAYTACAGCAGGTAAGACAATAACYATTCATAAGCTTTTCACAGAATCTCACCTTAAAATACCTGACAAAAAAAATATGAGATTTTCAAGCATAATTTAACATATTTTGAAGCACAATGGCAGCAGCTTCTGATACCCACAGCTTCATTTCCTCCATCATTGCCATGGATATTTGCATGTAACCCACAAGAGCTTCGGCTTAATGATTTTGGCCATTTTGTCACCTCCGCTCTAACACCGTCTTCTTTAAATCTGCTCAGGCAGAGTGGCGTCCTCTGCATCGCAATTAGYTCGGCTTGATTGCCGTACTTCACTCGGCATCGTCTGTCCTCTAAAATCGCACATCTTTTGGCGGACGGCGGAAAAGATAAGCGCGTTGGCACTTGTGGAGATGATAAACAAAACAATAACAAGAAAAGAAAAGAAAAGAAAGAAAAGAAAAGAAAAGAAGAGGATGATCATGGAACTACTGGATGTTTCTAGTTAGCTGAGCAGCCCATTCGTTTTTCTATAAATTCATAAAGCCCAAGGGTCATAAAGCATGGTCGAAACTTTACGGGCTCATAAAGTACAATTGGAACGCTTATTTGGCCAATCAGAACCCTCGGCTGGAAGCAGTCATTTTATAATAGCATTTAACTCCAATAACTTATGGCATGAGAGATTTCTAACTGGATGGGGTTTAGTCAGTGGAAAGAACGAAGTGGGTGTCCCATGAAACTGCACCCTCACACACACACACACACACACACACACATACACACACAGCAACATACAGAGACATGGCTCTTTATACATTAGCTCCTAATTGCCTCAGGTTTTTTTATGGTCAGGACAGTGACCCGAAAGATACCGAGCTTCCATCATTGTTATAACCGCAGCACCTTAAAGCCCTGTGAGCCTCTGGACGGACAACTGGTTTCAGATGGATTAAAAGGAACTCCCTGACCTTGCGCAGAAGTTTTACCTTATATCATGTGTCAGGTGCYGAATGTAATATTGGCATATATAAAGTTTTTTTTTTTTTTGAGAGAGAGAGGAAGTCACATATGGAGAAACAAATGTAAGTCCTCCTGASTGTGTGGGAGGAGAGATGATTGGCACTCCTTCTCTCCATCAGTTTGACGATGACAGGTGATGGAGGTGAAAATGACTTTGGTTTCTGCAGTGATGCGCTGCTCCTGAGGATAACGCAGCGCTGCCGGCTACTGGCTGGGGCCCGTCTCATTAGCATGTGTCACACGCGCCTCAAGGCGGGTGTCACATAATAACTTTAGCTGAGTGTGTGTGTGTGTTTGCGCGTGCCCAAGGCGTGCCACCGAAGGATTTGTCATCCACGCTCCCTTAAACAGGGCGAGCCAGCGGGACTCCGGCTGCTGCGCTTTGACTCAGGAGCACATCCCGGTTCAGAGGAGCCAAGTGCGGATGGCACGGGGTCAAATAAAGGATGACATCCCCGACACCCGTTTTAATTACTCTATCTGGCTTAGATTGAGCTCGGCTGGCACATGACAGGCAGCGGCGCTGTTCAAATCCCACAACTCTGCCAAGCCTCTGGGTACTTCTTCACCACAATCCTCCATCTCAGGCAGAGCTGACAGAGCTCAGCGGCCTTATATAATGCTCCAAAAGCAAAAGGCAAAAAAAAAAAAAACGTGTTCTCTCTTCTTTATCGTTGCCATTCTGCCTGCTCCCAGAGGATTCAGTTTGACATTGTATGAATGTGTGTGTGTGTGTGTGTGTGTGGTGGGGGGGGCAGCAAGACAGTAGAAGAAAAGCAGCTAATTCAAGTTTGATTAAAAATTTTGCCATTGAAAGGCGAAGTACGTGCATGTCTGTTACCAAGATATCTCATGAACAATTGACCACATTTTAATGAAACTCGCAGACAGGAATCWTTAGATGTTCATCTTCAATTGATTAACTTTTGGAGTCAGCTTGATTCCTGATGGCCACCACAGACGACTGACTTTAAAAAACACAAAACTGGCTTTAATACAGCTCATTCTAAAGTTACTGAGCTAAAGTTTGGTGTGGTAGTAGCTGAAAATGATCCCCCAATATTTTATGAGCTTAAACAAATGTAGCTTTTTTGTTAAAATTTTGCTATTAAATGTTAAATGGACTGTACTTATATAGTGCTTTTCTATCCATCCAGGACACTCAAAGCGCTTCACATTATAATCTGTGTCCTCATTTACCCATTCACACAGCACTCTATCAGATATCCTACAAAGCAAACACAATCATYTATGGAGACTAATCAGTRCCARTCACATTCATACACTGATGGGACACACATCAGAAGCATTAGGGGTGAAGTGTCTTGCCCAAGGACACAACAACTGAGACAGCTGGATGGGAGATCGAGCCGGCAACCATCCGGTTCCAGGACGACTCCCCTAACCACTCTGCCACAGCTGCCCCAAATTAACTATATTAGATCAGCTTGTCTATCTGTTAACAAAATATCTCATTATCCAATGAGCAGATTTTAATGACATCTTCAGGAAATAATCATTAGATGTTCATTTACAATTTATTAACTTGTGGAGTTAAAATACTCCAAGATGGCCGCTATAGCTGACCTCACAAAATACAAAAAATGACTACAACTCAGAAAATTTAGAGATACTGCGTGAAAAATGTCCTGGATTGTGGCTAAGAGTAATTCAAAACAGATAAAGTGTTACTCGTGTAAGATACTTGCTTAAAACCCAAGTTTCAACACTTTATTTTATTTTATTTTACTGTTATTTAACCAGGCAAGTCCCGTTGAGATCTCAGATCTCTTTTTCAAGGTAGACGTTGGAACACTTACACTAAACCCTGTTTACCTGTTAGTAAAATATTTGGTGAACCACTGGCTAGATTTTAAATGAAATTTACCGAACACCATCAATTAGATTTTTGCTCAATTTATATAAAAAAATCTTCAAAGAAGATTTGATAAATCTCAGGTGCACAGTGGAGACAGAAGCGCCGCGCTGATGTTCGGTGTGTTCATCTGCTGTGACAACCGTTCCGCCGGTTCGCCACTTTCTCGCGCAGTGACAGTGTCAGGTTTTATTTCGCTCTGTCTCGTTTCAGACGGCGGCCTTGTAAACCGTTTGTTGATTAAAGTCTTGATGTTCGTAAATTTGCGAGCAGTGTGTTTCCAACCTGTAATGCAGTTTAATGTGCTTAGCGGTACTGAGTGTAAGTGAGTGCTTGGCCGCTCCCCTGAGAGCGATAGCAGCTGGATCAGGCTAATCTAATACAGCCCCGTGTGTCTGGGGAGCCATCCGTTGTTTATCAGATCTTTCATTCAATAACATCGAGAGCGATGCCAGCTTATGAAGTCACATGTGGAATATTTCTGCTTTTCTTTTCCGTGACTTTTGTGTTTGATTTATAAATGTGTGTGTGTGTGTGTGTGTGTGTGTGTGTGTGTTCCTGCAGACTCAATGGATGGCTGCTCCACAGACTGTAATGGAAACGGAGAGTGTGTGGCCGGACACTGCCACTGCTTTGCCGGATTCCTGGGTCCTGATTGCGCCAAAGGTAAGAAATATTTACTGACATACAGTATGAACTTATTGTTGAAAAAAAAATAACAGCAACAAACAAACAAGCAAAAGGAGCTTAAATCAGGAGTAGACTCAAACCCAGTAAAATTAGACATTATTGTATTTTATTTGTCAAACGTTTGGTCTGTACTTTAAATTTTATGAAAGCTTGAAAACATCCAAAAACTTCTATACAGTTATTATCTGCAAACAACAGAATCAAATAATTATACCTCTAATTCAGTTTATTTAAATAAA